ATAACTATGACTTTATTATATTTAATTAATAAATAAATACTTGATTTTTACATTAAATAAACTTAAAATCTGATTTTTGCATTAATTGTGCATAATTAATGCCTTAATTGTGAATTTTTCACAAGTAAAAAACTTTTTTTTTGATAAAATTTTCGAAATTTTTAAGGATTTTTGCATGTCTTGAGTGCAAAAACAAGAAAGCCAACGCTCACCAGTCACGAGGAGGCCGCTTGAGCGACAAACTACCACTCGACCTCCGTGAGACTGCCGCCCCGTATACAAATTTTGATCAATTTGCGATATTGACAATTTTTTGAATCCTATCTTATCCCAAATACTTCATTATTGTATAGATTTATTATAGTTGAACTCCACCACATCTTAGGCTCTTCTTTTCACTATATACATGAAGAGTAAATCTCTAGAAAAATCAATTCTTACATTCTACCCAATAATTTGTAATCCTTCATTATTGATATTAATAAAATTCTCTTCTGTACATGGTATATTTTGCCACGTAAATCTTGTATTCTTGTTTGATATATTTTTCATATTACCATATTATTAAACTCATTTAAATCATAACAAGTGGTACTGGTATCAGAGTGAGGTTCGATCAACTCAGTTCGAGATTTGATAATTTTCTTATGGCAACTATGATGTATAATTTTTCATTGGTGGATCGCAATACCAGATTTAGCAATTCTCACTCGAATGGATTTTGATTATGTGTTGTCAGGATTTGACAAGATGCACTAAACTTGGTCTATGAAGGAGAGGCAACATAAGAATCAAAAGATCTTATCACAAATACATCTTTATCTTTCGAATAATATTTTTGGACATTTTAAAGGAGAAAACTGGAGCTGCATTATGGTCAAAACTGGAGCAATTATGCATGACAAAAAGTCTAACCAACAAATTGCACTTGAAATAACATCTTTATTCTCATCGTATGACGGAGTATACGTCATTGAAAGATCACCTGGCTATTTAAAGAAAATTGTCACTCATTTTAAAATCTTGGAAGGCAAATATGATGACTAAGATTTAGGATTAATATTATTATGTTTGCTGCCCGCTTCATAGATGCCGTTTAGAGATATGATCTTATACAATTGTGATACTCTCACCATTGAAAAAGTTTATAATGTTCTATTTTCAAAGGAGAAGATGAATCATCTTCTTGAATATGAAGTTCATAGAGATGGTCTTGTTGTTGATGATGATTAGGAGAGGGGCAAATTAAGGTCTAATTACAGTAATAAAGTCTATAATTATTGCAAGAGACCGGGGCACATAAAAAAGAATGTTATAAATAGCAGAAGAAGGAAAATTTAGTTGATGCAAATCAGAAGAAAAAACAATCAGGAACTTTAGGTGAAATTTGTATTGCAGAAGATAGGTACAATGATGGAGAACTTTTGATTATTTCTGACGATGACTCGAAACCCGACAAGGATTAGATTCTTGATACAACTTACTCTTTTCATATGTGTTCTAATTGTGATTTGTTCTTAACATATAAAATTGTTGCTAGATGTGTTGTGGTAATGGGAAATAACTCACTTTATATGATAGCTGGTATTGAAAGAATCAACTAAGATGTTTGATGGGATTGTCAGAACACTTGATGCTGTGAGACATGTTCTCAATTTTTTTTTTAAATCTTATCTCCTTAAACACTCTTGATTCGAAAGGGTTTATGTACACTTGTGTAGGTCTGAAGGTTAGTAAAAGTGCCCATATTGTGTTGAAAGGATAGAAAATGTCACAGTTATATGTCTTGCTCAGTTCCACAGAATCTTCGAATATTAATCAGCGAAAGTTAAGCACTCAGGTAGAGTTTAAGCTTGGTTCAGTATCGTTGGAGTTTGATTTGGAGTCTATATTAAATAATATATCTCAGTCGAGTTCAAAAGTTATAGATAATGTCGCTTTGCCACCATTTTCAATGGTACTATTGTATTCAATTGTTAGAGATAGATCTAGAAGAGATATTAAGCCTCCAGAAGGGTATGGTGAAGCTGATTTTGTTGTTTATGCTTTAAGTTTTGTCGAAGGTGTTTAGTCTAGCATATAACCTCATTTAGAAGCATTTTGTGTTGATTTTATTACATGGTATGTTTCTGTCCTATTTGGTAAATATTAAATTATTTGTGATTTTGTTACTCGTGGGGATAATTCGAGCAACTTTGGTGCCCAAGGTAATCCTGCTAAGTAGTACATGGATTCAATTGATTTTTTGAGTTTTCCTTAGTTGGGTTTTGTGGAAGAGATGGAGAATTTTTCCTGATGGAGGATTTGTTTTGGTGGAGAATTTTTCCTGATGGAGGATTTGTTTTGGTAGAGAATTTTTGGTTGAAAATTTAAGTTTTATTCCTTGTAGTGTAACTTGTCTCCATGTGGAGAATTTTCTAAAGTTTTGTTCATTGCAGCGGAATTCAGTTCAAGGTGGAGATTTGTTAGAATTATGGTGTGACCCAAATTCTATTTAGAAGATTACTTGGGAATTCTATTTGATACTAGTTGAGAATTCTAGTTGAAGTCTTTTTGTGAATTCTAGTCAGAATTCAATTTGGATATTGAGAGTTTGAAATTTGTGTTAGACTTAAAAGCCATGAAAAAGTCCAAGTTGCAATAAGAGATGAAGAAATCTTGCAAAGAGAAGGAAGAATCCTGCTTGGCACTGCTTAAGCGGTCAGAACAAGGAAGCCAACACTCGCTAATCACGAGGAAGCTGCTCGAGTAGCCGGCCACTACTCGACCTTCGTGAGACCACCTATCGAGAGGTGATCTCATTCTATTTTTGTTTAGTTCACAATTTTGGCAATTTTTTGAATCCTATCTTATCACAAAGACTCCATTATTGTATAGACTTGTTATAGTTGAACTCCACCACATCGTAGGTTCTTCTTTACACTGTATATATGAGGAGTAAACCTCTAAAAAAATCAATTCTTGCATTTTACACAATAATTTGTAATCTTCCATTATTGATATTAATAAAATTCTCCTCTTCTGTCCATTAGATATTTTTACCATGTAAATCTTGTGTTTTTTTGTTTAATCTATTTTTCATATTGCTATATTATTATACTCTTGTAAATCATAACAGTATATCTGCACACTTGGATAGAAACCGATAGGCACTAAGACCATCGGACCAAGAAGAAGGGCGACAATCATACTTCAATGTCAAATCAATTCCCAGAAAAAGAATAACAATATATAATGAATTGGGTGTAGTAGAAACAGAAAAAGAAAAAAGAAAAGAAAAAAGAAAAGAAATTTGGCTATTTTAAAGTTTACTTATTCAAAAATCAGGTAATAATTTATATTTTAATACATATAATAATATTAATAAATTAAAATTTCCACCCAATTAGAACCCTAATTTATTTCAACAATCATCTTCCCCTCCTCTCTTACTTTCGTCACTCTCTCTGTCCTCTCCCTAATTCAAAACCTAAACCGAGATTAATCCCCAATCTTTCTCTCTTCCTCTTTATCACACACATCATCGAAGTATTGCCGATGTGGCGTCGATGAGAGGCGTGAAGCCATTCAGGGCGACCCACTCTCGGCATTGCTGCGCAGTGGCGACTTCAGAGTTACCCGCCGATGTGGTTTGTGTTGATTGCTGCCGTGAAGGATGGTAGATGTTGATGGTTATGCAAAGATGGTAGCGCAGCGCCTTGCAGCGATCTGTACCAGGGAAGCATTAGAGTGTCTGTACGGTGGTGGCCTTTATCTTCTTCTATCCATCGCCGCGGTGGTGGTCTCTATCTTTATGTACAACGGTGCTCTGTTCATCGCTGCACACGGTGCTTAGAGCGCCACCCAGTTCCTATCTGAGTCGATTACGACAGGATCAAGGAGATTTGTTGGTGGTGATGTCTGTGGTGGTTGTGGTGTGGTGTGGTGTCTTTGTTGTTGGCGACGACGAGGATGGAGGTGGTGGAGGCTTTGGGATTTTTTTGTTGGATCTAGTGGTGACGGTTTTGTTGATAATGGTGCTACCGAGGCGGTAGTAGCGGTGGTGGTGGCGGCGGGGGTTGGCGATGGATCTGGTGGCGGCGACGGGGTGGTGGTTGTTGGTGATTGGAGATATGATAGAGTTCATTGTCATGATTTTTGTTAGTACTTGATTGGATCTCGTTGCGGTGATTTTGTTGGTGGTGATGTCGTGGTGTTGGTAGTGGTGGTGCTGTTATGGCGGTGGCGACGATGGCAGTGTAGGTGGTGGTCGTATGTGACCCGCTATTTGACCCGTGACCAACTATTTGGTTACCTGTTATCTTAAAATTCGATAATTTGTGACCAAAAAATTTGAAAATATGTGACTGATTGATAAACTGTTACCTATAATTTTTTTTTATTTGTGACCAATAAAATAAACTTTGACCTTAAAATTCAATAATTTGTGATCAACAAATTGGAAAATACGTGACTGATAAATTGTGATCTATAATTTTTTATCTGTAGCCAATAAAATAAAATGTAACCTATAAAATTTTCGATTTGTGATCTCGAATTAATTTGTGACCAATTAATTTGATAATACATGATCAATAAATAAGTTGTAACTTATGATTATGTACTTATGACCATTAATTGTATAATTATGACTTTATTATATTTAATAAATAAATAAATGCTTGATTTTTGTATTAATTAAACTTAAAATCTGATTTTTGCATTAATTGGTCATAATTAATGCCTTAATTGTGAGTTTTTCCCTTTTTTTTATTTCAACTATGAATTTGTGCTAAGTTTTTCCATTTTTTAAAGCTAATTTGCTTTTGGGCTGGGGCAGCCCCTCTCCATCCGCCTCTATAATATCCCACCCAATTCCCAATTCTAAAATCATGCAAAAACCCTAATCTACATAATACCTTTCCAAACCGCATAGAGTATTCTTTACTGTTCAACTTTCCCAAATTTTAATAAATTCCAGTTATTTGTCCCCTTTTTGCGTGATTCTGTCTGTGTTAAAGATGGTAGTCGTAACTACAGAAATCAATGGCGTATATCTGCGAGTCTTCAAGTGGAATGAAAAGCTCCCGGAGGTGACGAATGAAAAGGGCTTATTTTTTGTTCGGATTTATGAAGAAACATTAACGGTGAGTTCGAATAAGACTGGAGATGGAATTAATAAGAGTAAAGTATCCGTAATGTATCCTGAGTTAATTACATTCGAGTTATCCAGCCTATGTTGTTCTTGTCGAATTAATCAATTGTTGGATGACTACGTTTTATCCCCAAAGGTTGCCTTTCAAGAGAACATTAAATCACTAACCAAAAGTATAGCTACAGCTGCACTTGCATATTTTCGCTTCAAAAACCAAACTTTGCTTGGGAATGGTCCGAAGCCTGTTTTCGTGGTCGAAATTTATCGACACAAGACCATCGATCATACCAAAGAAGGAATATTGGAAGAAGATGATTCTTTTTTCTATGAAACATTGGTAAATTCAGCGTGCCAAAGATCAATTTCGGAAATTGAATCTGATCAAGGACAAGACAGTGCTGATGTGAATAATGCGGGTATTTTACGAATATTGAGATACCTTTTGGGGATACCAAAAAGTGAAGTATTGGAACGAATCGAAAGTGATGAACCAAAAGGTTTGTACGAAGTGAAGGCTTGTGTGGATTTTCAAAAATTTCGAGCTCGTGATCCAGAATTGGATGCATGTCCGATTTGTATCCAAGGGTTTTCTGAAGGTATGAATATTGTAGAAACGCCTTGTGCACACAGGTTTCACAGAGATTGCATATTTCAATGGTTATTGATTAATATCTCCTGCCCAATGTGTCGATCAGAATGTGTCGCATGGGTATAATTCTATCTCTATGCCTATTTCTCATATGTATTAGGGTATATATAATTGATCAAATCGAGTAGAAAAAGGTTCTGAGATTTTTTAAAATCTCATATAAATGTAATTTTAGGTATAAGATTTTTAAAAATGTAATCATACACTGAGATAAAGACACAAAAATTAGAAACAATATGCGAATTTTTTAGCACTTCCACCCCCTTCATGTTATGGATTTCACATAGAATCGAACTTTCGATTGAACTTGATTGGAAAAATGTTTGTCATCGCATGATATAAGATCGTCTGTTGTAATTGTTTTTTTTTTTTTTTTATACCCCA